CGTACTCTGTTCTCCCGGTGAGGTAAGATCTGAACCAGTCAAGGGGAGAGTCAGAGAGTCCGATGGTGGAGTGGAGACGGTGGAGGAGGATGCCGTGATCGACTGTGTCGAAAGCTGCAGTGAGAACGAGGAGGATGAGGAGAGAGGGAGAGCCAGCATAAGCCACCATCAGCAGGTCGTTGGTGACCCTGACCAGGGCAGTTTCTGTGCTGTGGCCTGAGCGGAAACCAGACTGGAACTTCTCGAATAAGTTGTTGGAGTTTAGGTGGTCCTGGAGCTGAGCTGCAACTAGTTTTTCCAGCACCTTTGATAGAAATGGGAGGTTGGAAATTGGTCTGTAGTTGGCCAGGACTCCCGGGTCAAGGGAGGGTTTTTTGAGACGAGGTTTGATGACAGCGGTTTTGAGGGCAGAGGGGACATGGCCAGCCTGGAGAGAGAGGTTTACGATCTTAGTGATCATGGGGCTCATGGTACAGATGTAGGATTTCACCAGAGCTGACGGAAAGGGGTCCAGGACACAGGTGGAGGGCTTCATCCTCCTAACGATGCCCTCAACATCTCGCTGAGTGATGACCGAGAAACAGCGATGAGGCTGGGTTGTCCCAGGCTGTGGGTCGGCAGTTCGAACTGGAGGTACTGCAGAAGACTCTTATTTCCAGAGGTGGAAGAAGAGATCTTGTACTTGAGTAAAAGTAGAAGTACCAGAGTGTAGGAACACTCTGTTACAAGTAAAAACCCTGCAATCATATATCATATGGTACAAGCACTTAAAAATTGTAAATAAGTACAGTACTTGATTAAATGTACTAAGTTACTTTCCACCTCTGCCTTCTTGAACCTTCATTCTTAAAGGTAACACACTTTCATAAAGTAAGAGCTCTCTTTCACATGAACACATCTTTGTTCCTGCTCAGCAGCTGACCGTAGATCAGCCTCCGTATTCAGCTTCTGTTTGGTGCATCCTCCACAGATCGAGCTGCATCCCTACCTGGTGCAGACTGAGATGATCGAGTTATGTAAATCCAAGAACATTGTGCTTACTGCCTTCAGTCCCTTTGGCTCGCCTGCAAGACCCCCAGAGATGTAAGCCCCCCGCACCCTCACATGCTGCTGTTAGTACCAGACACTCATTGAGGTCAGGCTCAGAGGTCTTGTTTAGGGACAGGACATTATGGGAACTTACTTTCGATTGCATAGATTCATTTTGTATGAAAATAAACATATAATGTTGCTATTTAATAAATGTTGCTTATTTATTTATGCAGGTGACCTTATGATAACTTTTTTTATTAATTAAAACGGATGTTCACTAACCATACGTTTCTTGATAAAATGTAAGGTTAAGTGATTCTAGCGTTCGGTGCCGTATTAACAGATTTACATTTTGATGATTATCTGGATTATTGGATTTCGTTCAAAATGTAAGATCCAAACTGAAATTTCATGTTCAATGCGTAATGATTTTGTGATCCATGCGGCTCATTTATTCAGATCCACTGTGTGTTGGGTCATAGTCCTGCACAGTTAAAATCCCATCAGCAGTTGTTGGTTTTACAAACTGGAATCTGTTATCTTATAATTAACACTTTGTTCGGGTGGAGCGTAGGATTTAACTTCCTCTGAAGGCAGATTTTCTTTGTTTTCTGGAACTTAATTTCCACAAGCTTCAAACATTGTGATTGAGATTCTCCTAGCTGCTGTCCTTTTCAGGTATCTAGACAAATGTCCTGCACTCCAGCTTCAAGAGGGTTCAGAGAGAGAAACAATTCATAGACATGTTTGAGTAAAATAATAGGCTTTATTCTACCAGTGTATTTATTGTAGGCTAAATATTGTAGTTTTTCTTTCTATAACTATAACCTATAACTCCTATGAAAATGTTCAAAAAGTGCTCAAACTTCACATGTGTGCTAACAGTCCAGCCGTGAAGACATATACGGGACAGTTTTGAGATTTCTTCAAATGCCGTTGCCATGGCAACACAATACTCGCCATGAAACACGGTTTTCTCATAACTTCAGTGAAAATGCTCCAAACGGCCCAAAACTTCACAGGTTTGGTAACGATGCAGCCATCAACAACACATCTAAGCGTATTATGGTATGTCATCAAATGCCGTTGGCATGGCGACAGATCATTCACCATCAAGTTAGTTCAAATGTTTGCAGTTCAAATATTCTGCTGCTTTTCCAAGCCTTTTTACTTTCTTTTCTTCTCTCATCACACATTCAAGCCCCCAGTGTTCATGTATCATTTCAATCTAAATGATTCACTTTCTTCTTACACATCACATTTCAGCATAGCAGTTCAGCGTCAGCTTTTCAGCATAAAGCATTCCCACTAGCAATTTCTTCAGGAATTGCATTCTCTAGTTCTTATCTGATGTACAACCTCTGAACTACGGTTCAATAAGGTATGTAGTGAAACTGCAGACCAGCAGGGGAGGGTCTTTGATATTTCTGATGCAGACTGGAATAGGATGGGTCTAGTGAAATATGGTGAAATATTAGAAATGTCCTCACCCAGCCCACTGATTGTGGAGATTGTAAATTCTGATCTGTCCCTCTCAGGCTGAGAGGAGAGACTGATCCTCTGAGGCTGCTGGAGGACCCCGTGGTGGCAGATATCGCCAAGAAGCACAGACACAGCTCCGCACAGGTCAGTGTGACTGTGTGTCCCCCATACGTGTGTGTGTGTGTGTGTGTGTGTGTGTGTGTGTGTGTGTGTGTGTGTGTGTGTGTGTGTGTGTGTGTGTGTGTGTGTGTGTGTGTGTGTGCGTGCGCGTGTTTCCCTGTCAGTAACAGTGGTCTGCTCCAGGTGTTGCTCAGGTTCCACGTGCAGCAGGGTGTCGCAGTCATCCCGAAGAGTGACAAGCCTCACCACATCCTGGAAAACACAAAGGTAAACCTCTTTGTTTCTCTCAGACTCTTCAGTACGCACGCTGCTTTGTGATGTGTTGAGTTCTTTAAACATCCTTATGTTTATCTTCTTGGCTCTCACACTCTTTTCTTTATTTTCTGTTTCTTTTGGGTCATTTTAGATTGCCATTGCTCTTACATGTAGCTGTAACCCAACTGAGTTTGGAATTTAAATTCTGTTTTGAAAATCAAACCTTGTAATTTATTTTTTATGATATCCATTTAAAACTGAATTAATCGGCCAATTAGGGGGAGTGAAACAACATATTACTGTTTCCTTTTGCACGGCAAAGGTCTGAGAGCATTGTAGTGTATGCCGAACCGACTTTAAACCCTATGAGGCACATTTGTAATTTTTGATATTGGGCTAAATAAACACGTTTGATTTAGATTGTAATTGTCTATTTATAAATTCAACAGACATTAAGTATAGTCAGATATTCACATTGTTTTGGTCTCCACCCCCTCTATATAAATATATGTCTCCTTAGCTGCTAAATGCTCCACCATGTTCACCAGCTTGTCTGCTGTTTGGGGCTGGACAAAGGAATCTGCTTCTTCCACAACAAAAACTCAATAATGCATGTGACAACATCACTGCGAAACCTCTACTGTATTCTCAGCTTTTCATGAGAACAGCCATTCATGTCCTTTTAAGTTGTTCGTTTGTCAGGTAGGGTTGTGTAGCAGTTTGATCAAAATGTGATGCAAAAATATAGCAACTATCACTTTGCAGCAAATTAACTACTTTCCATAAACCTGTCCTAACTGCTGTTGTACAGTCATTAAGCATTGCATCAATGTGCTAAATAAAAAGTTATGTCATGTTATTGCAATTCATCGTATAGGACATGAAAAAAACAAATTTAAGTTTTAGAGGCATTTCACTCACAATCAGGGATTTACCCTCTGGGGGACCATGAAGTCTTTCACGGCAATCCATGAGATAATTCTGGTGATGAACAGACAGACTTCTAGAAAATATATAATTATAAGCAAAAAAATATTTTTTTTATTATACACACACCACTCAGGCGCAAGTCAAAAGCAGCATCAATTAAGAAAGTCCTGCACAACGACTCCAAGCCTTTCTGAAAGTGTGGATAATGGATATATAACCCAAAAAAGTCACATGGGCATTGTATTTAAACACATGTACGGTCCAACAACAATAAGCTATACCTTAAAGTGGCCCTATTCTACTTTTTAGGGTTTTCCTTTTCCTGTAGTGTGTTATTACTATAACACACTTCTATTGGCTAGCGCTTCAAGACATTGTACGTGATAGGCTAAGGGGCGGGACATCTCTAAGCAGTTGACCAATCACAACAGAGCTGGCCAGCTAACCAATCAGAGCAGACTATCTGGCACAATTACATTTGACGTCCTCCTCTTTATTCAGTACTGTTGATTTTAGAGTGTGATTAGTAAAGATGTATATATTGACACTTGATCAGACTTGGATTTTAGGTGTCTATTTTACCCCTTAATGCTAAGTTGACCAATAGGCATTCAGCATGTATTTCATATTTTCCCTTTAAGGGCTGCTTCAATAACTGTCCTTCAAAAATAATAACACATTGTCTAGGACTTCACTTCAAGAAGAGCATCATTATTGTTGTCTGTAGAAGCCATTTATCAGTGTCACTGTTTCTGCAGATCTTTGACTTCAGTCTGACTGAAGAGGACATGCGAGCCCTGAGAGGACTGGACCGAGGGTGGAGGTCCTGCCTGCTGGAGGAGTGAGTTCATCACAGCCATGTTGTTCTGAGTGAGCAGCTCCTGACACACTGATGATGTTGTTCTGTTTCAGAGTCAAGTCTCACCCGTACTACCCCTTCGTATGAAGCAGCCAGAGGATGAGTGGAGAGGAGGCGGCACACTGCACCTACTGACACGTCAACAAGACCTCAGACAGCCTCACACTGCCATTCAGTGTGCCTTACTGCACAAGAATAATCATATAGTGTAGTGGCCAGCATAGTGAACCCGGAAATGTTGAGTACACCAAAGTTCTATGTTAGAAATGTATAGTTGGGTCCCCTGAAGATAGAAACTGTTTGCACAATTTGCACAATAACCATCAGTATCATGATTAGCATTAATGGCATTATAGCTCACTGTATTTGGACAACAGCGGATTTGGACCATTTTTGAGTGGTTTTGGATGCAGAATGCAGGTTGAACCAAAAAGTGTCCATACAGTTGCAAGAAAAAGTATGTGAACCGTTTGGAACTACCTGGATTTCTGCATAAATTGGTCATAAAATGTGTTCTGATCTTCATCTAAGTCACAACAATAGACAAACACAGTCTGCTTAAGCTAAGACCACACAAACAATATGTTTTTATGTTTTTATTGAACACACCATGTAAACATTCACAGTGCAGGGTGGAAAAAGTATGTGAACCATACTTTTTCTTGCAACTGTATCTGTCGTCCCGGGTTGACTACCATGAACAGTGTTGCAACCGTTGGATATAGACAGCAGCACAATATAAAAATGTGAAGAAACCTCGGGGAGAGCAACAGAGGAGGATCCCTCTCCCAGGACGGACAGACGTGCAGTGTCGTGTAAATTGAAAAGATAATACATTTACAACATAGGTAGCCCAAATGCTTGAAAATGCATGTGTCTATAAAAAAGGATATGAAACCAGGTGGATGTCAACAATCCTGTGGGAGCCATCAGAGAAGTCGTATGATGAGTCAGGCAGGACCGCAGAGACAGGTTCAGCCACGACACATCATTGTATTTAATGCTAATTAATGCAACTTGCTAATTGTACAAATTGCCAAA